GACCGAGGAGGAGGCTGAGGCTGAGGCTGAGGATGATGATGACTATGTGCCTTCTGCGGTAGAGCCCTCTTGGGCAAAGAAGCTCAAGCTCAAGATGAAGAAGTTGTTCTGCATGGAGGCTCACGGTTAGTACATGACTCATGTGGGTGAGAAGAAGGCCCGTAGTCGTCACAAGGAGCTCATGCATCAGTTGGGTGCCACTGTTAACAGTGGATCTGAGGACCAGCTTACTGAGGAGGAGGAGTGGATTCAGCAGCACTGCCCGTGGACCGATTCTGATGCCGAGCACTTCCCGACCGACGATGGTGGCGCAGATGATCCCGCTGAGACCTGATATTTGAGTCCCTCTCTTGCTATCACCTGGAGCCGTAGCAACACTCCCTCTCCTTTTTGGTGTCTTGATGCCAAAGGGGGAGAGAGTTTAGGGATTTGTGTTGTGTCTTCTGTCTTCTGTGTTTGTGTTTTATCGTAGTTTGCTTGGTTTGGTTTGTGTCAGTGAGACCTAAGTTCCAGTCATATGGTGTGAGACATATGCTACCTTATCTTCTTTCGAGTATCATTATCTATGTCTGTCTAGCTTATGAGTTGCATGAGTATCCTGTTATCTATGTTTCTCTCATTTACCTTGCTTAGGTGGTTGGTCTCTAAAATGTAGGGGGAGCGTTGATCCTGGTATGTGTGTCGTGCAGTCCAAAGCACTTATCTAGATAACACACACCTAGGGGGAGCCCATCTACATTTTAGGACGGTGGGGTTTTGCGCTTGTCCTATATCTTTCCTGTTTGTGCAAATCCCGTATTGTCATCAATCCACCAAAAAGGGGGAGATTGTAAGGGCATATTTATCCCCAAGATGTTTTGGTGATTGATGACAATGCTTTTGCGGACTAATCGTGTGCGTTGAGTTCTTTCAGAGATTCATCCTTTGGCACGAGACGATTACCTCCCCTCGGTGTTTTATTCAAGATGGTGTAGCTCCTTCGTTTCTCTGTTGGTGGACTAGTTTCGTAGGAGTCACCGTACTATCAAGAGGGGATCCGCTTTGGTAAGGCTAGGGTGGAATCAACACGTACACATCCTTATCACACCCGACGTTTCTTTCCGTTTCATTGGAGTTATCTTTCCTATCTGTGTCTGCCCTGTCCTGTCCCAGCGGTAGTACCACGGTCCTCAGCGGTAGTACCACCGAAGCACGTCAAGCGGTAGTACCGCTCCCCGAGCGGTAGTACCGCTTGTGGTCTTCGTCCGTAGTACCACAGTGGTTCCGGGCTACTACCGCCTCAACTCGAGACCGCTGTTTTTCGTGTCGGGTTTTACGGTACTAGTAGCGGCAGTAGTGGCGGTAGTACCGCTCCAAGCGGTAGTACCGCCATTGCTCCCGCGGTAGTACCGCTCTGGGGCCAGGACCCTACATCCCTCGTCAGCGCGGCAGTACCGCTGGGAGGGAGCGGTAGTACCGCCCTGCCCAAGCGGTAGTACCGCTCTGTGCATGGCTGTTGGGGGGGGGGGGTAACGGTTGGATTGTTTCCCCCACTATATAAAGGTGTCTTCTTCCCCAAAGTTGACTTACCTCTTCCCCCAAAAGCTCCATTGTTGCTCCAAGCTCCATTTTCGCCTGATCTCTCTCCCTAGCCAATCAAGCTTGTTGATTTGCTCGGGATTGGTTGAGAAGGCCCCGATCTACACTTCCACCAAGAGAAATTTGATCCCCCCCCCACTAATCCCTAGCGGATCTTGTTACTCTTGGGTGTTTGAGCACCCTAGACGGTTGAGGTCACCTCAGAGCCATACTCCATTGTGGTGAAGCTTCGTGGTGTTGTTGGGAGCCTCCAAGTGTTGTGGAGATAGCCCCAACCTTGTTTGTAAAGGTTCGGTCGCCACCTTCAAGGGCACCAATAGTGGAATCACGGCATCTCGCATTGTGTGAGGGCGTGAGGAGATTACGGTGGCCCTAGTGGCTTCTTGGGGAGCATTGTGCCTCCACACCGCTCTAACGGAGACGTACTTCCCCTTAAAAGGAAGGAACTTCGGTAACACATCCTCGTCTCCACCGGCTCCACTCTTGGTTATTTCGTGCCTTTACTTTTGCAAGCTTACTTGTGTTGCATCTATTGCTTGCTTGTGTACTAGTTGTCATTGCATCATATAGGTTGTCCACATAGTTGCATATCTAGACAACCTATTTTGTTGCAAGGTTTAAATTGTTAAAGAAAAGCTTAAAAATTGTTAGTTGCCTATTCACCCCCCCTCCCCTCTAGTCAACCATATCGATCCTTTCAGTGGCCGATGCTTTGAGTCATCGTGCATGCCTCTTGACTTCTTTTGAGGCTGAACTTCTAGGCATGAACCAAATGAAGGAGTTGTATCAGGATGATGAAGACTTTGGCCATGTTTGGGTGAAGCACATTAGGAGTCAGCCGGTAGGTGACGACTATTTGGTGTGGGATGGCTATCTCTTCAAAAATGATCGTTTGTGCATCCCAAGAAGTTCTTCGCGTGACAAACTAATTAGAGAACTCCATTCAAGTGATCTTAGTGGGCATATTGGACGGGACAAGACTATCGCTAACCTGGAATCTCGCTACTTTTGGCCACAACTAAAGAGAAATGCTGGAAAGTTTGTTCAGCGATGCCCTATATGGCAAACCTGTAAAGGACAAATCCAGAACACAGGGTTATACATGCCTTTGCATGTTCATGTAGCTCCATGGGAGGACATCTCTATGGACTTCGTCTTGGGCTTGCCAAGAACAAGGCGGGGAAGTGATGCTGTGTTTGTAGTCGTGGACAGATTCTCTAAGATGGCTCACTTAATCCCATACCGCAAGACAACGGATGCCCATCATGTGGTAAATCTGTTCTTTCGACAAGTGGTCAGACTTCATGGAGTACCAAGGTCCATCGTCTCAGACCGTGATAGCAAGTTTCTTGCTGCATTTTGGCTCACTTTGTGGAGGCGATTCAACACTGAATTGAAATTTTCTAGCACTGCTCATGCACAAACAGATGGACAAACGGAAGTGGTGACCAAATTTTTGGGTAATCTAATCCGTTGCATTTCTGAAGAAAGAAAGGGACAATGGGATTTGACTTATGTATTGGAGAGTTCTCCTACAATAACTCCAAGCATAGATCTATAGGAAGGATCCCTTCTTCCATTGTCTACACTAAAGTTCTGACACATGTGGTGGACCTGGTGAAGCTACCATCAAAGGGAAACTCAAAATTAGCATTGTCCTTTGCTGATAATTACACCGAGTTATTTGAAGAGATTTGTGGTGCTTTGGAAGCACAAAATCAGAAATATAAACAACTTACTGATTGCAAAAGGAGGCCAAAATCATTTCAAGTTGGTGATAAGGTGATGGTCTACCTCCGAAAAGAGAGGCTGCCTTTAGGTGTTAAGGGGAAGTTTAAGCAACGAAGGTATGGACCCTTCTCTATCACGAGGAAGATAAATGATAATGCTTATGTGATAGATCTTCCAAGCGACAGGGGCATATCAACACTTTAAATGTTGCAGACTTGACTGTCTACCATCCAGAAGAAGCGCTCTACGACGATAACTCGAGGGCGAGTTCCAAACAACCAGGGGAGAATGATGAGGAACAATAGATGAGAAAAAAACATGCCAGATCTGTTTGGCTACTTCTAGATACCTCCACTCTAGTGTAATATTTCTTTTCTTTTCTTTACCCTACCTGCTGTTTCTAGAGTTCTCTAGTTATAAGTAGCTGTGAGTAGAGTGGTTAATCTTAAATAATATTTTCTAGAGTGTTCCAGCTATAAGTAGAAGTATGTGAAGGCTTCTCAAAGCCCTATAAATAAAGGTCCTCACCTCTACTTTAGGAGCAGACTATGTACCCACTACTTATAATAAAACTTGTTCTTATCTAAGATTTTGAAGTAGATCTTGTGCCCTAGGAGTTCTGCATTGAACTCTTGCTGCCCTATCGGCCTACATTCGCCTCTAGAGCGATATCTAGCACAACACGTTGAAGTTGTTCCTTCAACACTTGTGATGTACACATTGTCGCAGCTAGGTGGAGCTGCTCCTCCACATCCTTCGTGCTGCTTCAGAAATCGCCGATGGTGCAATGTAGGAGTTACTCAACTCTCTCTTTGTCTTGCTGGTTTTCGGTGATCAAACTCACAAATGATTTTTTGTAGTTTACCCTTAGTCCCGATGCTCCACATCTCCAAAGCACTTCTAACGAACTCAAGGTCCGGGGTGTAGACATGACGAACAACGCCACATCGTCCGTGTATATTGATGGCCACTGTGTCATCGAGATCCATGTGTATGTGCTCAACACTCCAGCTTGCATAGCCGTAGTTACAATAGCCGTGAGGACCTTCATAGAGATGACGAACAATAGAGGGGAGACTGGATCCCCTTGGCGTAACCCTTTCGCATGCCAAATTCTCCTTCTCGGGACTCCATTGATCACTACACTCGTGCTCGAGGTTTGTAACAATGTGGCCATCCACTTGAGAAGTGGGTCAATCGTAGACCCCTGTTTCATCAGAGCCCACCCGAGCGCGAGAATTACGACTGCAGTGAAGACCCAAGTAAAAAATTTAGAAGATCTTCAAGAAAAGAAAAAGGAGAGCAGTATTTCTCAAAAAAGAAAAAGGAGAGCAGTGTTTCTCAAAAAAGAAAAAAAAGAAAAAGGAGAGCAGTGTTTCTCAAAAAAGAAAAAGAAAAGAAAAAGGAGAGCAGTGAAGATTACGGACGGGGACACGAGCGAACGGGCGGCGGCGCGGGGTCCCGGGTCCATCGGATCGCGCGCGCGCGCAGCGCACGTCGCGCAGGCCAAGGCACCCGGCGCGAGCACGGCGCGCGTCCCCCGCGGCACCGCCCCCCTCCCTCCCCATCCTCCCGTCCTCACGTTCCCTTTTACTACTTCACTCACCACCGTCACACGTCGTGAAGCGCCCCCTCGCCTCGCCTCGCCTGAATCCAGCTCCTGCCTTCCACCCACCCCCGGTGCGTCTCCGATGTCGTCGCCGTCGCTGCCCACCGCGCGCCTCCCGCTGCGCCCGTCCCCTGCCGCGGCAACAACGCCGCTCTCCCGCCGGGGCGCGCCCGCCCGCTCCCTCGCGGCATCCCCCGCCCCCGCCATCGCCCTCAAGCCCCTCGTCTTCAAGGCGCCCGCGTCCGGCTCCTACCGCTCCGCGCTCCTCCTCCACCGCCGCCGCCGGTATGCGCTGCCCGAGACCGCCGTCTCCGAACCAACCCCCAAGGTCTGCTTTCCTCTCCACCTCCCGACATCGGCGGCGAATGTCGCGGGGGGGAATGTCGCCTGATTAAGGCTGCCTGCTGCCTGACGACGCTTGGTTTGGCGCGCGCAGGTCACCAAGGAGTACCTGGACTGGGACTCCCTGACGGGCAAGTTCGCCGCCAGCGCCAACGTGCCCTTCCTCCTCCTCCAGCTCCCGCAAATCATCCTCAACTACCGCAACCTCGTCGACGGCAACAAGAGCGCCCTCTTCGCCGTCCCATGGCTCGTACGCCCCTAATCATCCCCCCGTATTTCGCTTTCTTAGTTTCTCATGCTCTGATTGGTCGATTGGTCGATTTACGGCGAGCATTGTCTGTTTGGTCGCTCCAGGGGATGCTCACCGGGCTGCTCGGCAACCTGGCGCTCGTGTCCTACTTCGCCAAGAAGAGGGAGACGGAGGCTGTCATCGTGCAGACGCTGGGCGTTATCTCCACCTATGTGGTCATCGTCCAGCTTGCCATGGCGGAGTCCATGCCCTTCCCGCAGTTCGTGGCCACTTCGGCTGTTGTCGGCGCCGGGCTTGTCCTCAACTTACTCAATTACATTGGGTGGCTCCCAGAGACCCTCTGGCTGCTATGGGAGGATTTCACGACAATCGGCGGCCTTACCGTGCTCCCTCAGGTGACACTTACTTTTGTTCTCTGTCATCGTGCAGATCCAGCTGATGCCCCTGCTAGCTTATGCCATCCAGTGTCATGTTAAGCGTGATTATCTCAATGGTGAATTGAAAATGCAGGTCATGTGGTCAACGTTTGTTCCCGTCCTCCCCAGTAGCATACTGCCTGGCATAATCTGTGGCTCTTTGGCTGTTGCTGCTGTCGCAATGGTATGACACATCCTCTTGCATAAAGCTGTTTTGCTGAAGTTAGATGTGCGTGTACTCTCGTACCATCTCAATGCCTTAACGGAAACTAGAAAATGTGTAAGTTATACTGTACAAAGAGGTAATGGTAATTGTAGACAACCTATTGTCACTTGCATGACTTTAGTTAGTGCCCCATAATAAATTTGAGGTTGTAAAATAGCCTGTGGATTTAAGAAGCTTGAGTGCAGAATAATTAAACCCAGTTCCAAACTAGTACGAATCATGATAAGAGTTCATATTAGAGGTGTTTTAGATTCTTTAAGTGTGATAGGTTTGTTTCTCTTTTAGCACAGTACAAATCTGATCATTGATTCTTTATTTGGTAATTAATAGTTTACTCTATGTTTTGATCTGTACTTAGGCCCACTTGCTTCACAAGAAAATTTGTTCAATAAAATTTCTAGTACTTCTTAACATTCTAGGTATAAGAATGTCCATTGTATTTACTCTACTCCATCCTTTCTATTTCTGTTCATATGCCTCTGTATTAGAGTTTTCGTGCTAACTAAGCAATTTAGGACTAATGACACAATATCCACTTCTAGTATATTTGTCCTTTCTTATGTTAGCCCTTGATTTTGTGTTACATTAAATTCAGGCAAGGATGGGCAAGCTTTCCGAAGGAGGAACTAAATTTGTGGGGTCGTTGTCTGGTTGGACTGCCACACTTTTGTTCATGTGGATGCCAGTTGCACAGATGGTACTCAAACTTTTACACTTGTAGCATTTGAATCTTAAGTATTTAGTATCCCTTAACAGGAAGACATTTGCTTACAATTTATTTGGTGGGTTATGCAGTGGACAAACTATCTCAACCCAAGTAACATCGAAGGGCTGTCAGCGTTCTCAATGTTGCTTTCAATGATTGGAAATGCACTTATGATTCCTCGTTCTGTATTTATCAGAGATCTGATGTGGTATGTTCTATTTCAACCTATTCATTTTTCAAATCCGAGCACAACTGCATGAGAATATACAAAGGTGGACGCGTTAAAAAATATACAAAGGGGAATGATTCTCATCTGAAGAGTCAACCTCCACAACCTGCTTTTCTACTTCCCCAACAGAAACAGTCAATATCTTCCTAATCACCGTTTTAAGAGTTCTGCATGCTTTGCACATCGAAATTTATAGTTTAATCAGATGTGTTATGGTAAGCCTGATTAATGAGAAAAGTATCTGAAGGAGGAGCTCTCTTGGACCAATTACTAGTTGAGTTAGATTCAATCTCCTAGAAACATCCACCGTAGACGAGATAAGTTAGACTTATTTATTATGGCAAACAGAGAAGATGAGGTCATGTTAAAGTTATCGTTACTAGCCGGAGAGGAAAGAGATTCAAATTATGAAGTTTCCGAGCAGTAGGTGCTTAGCGAAACTCACTGCAGAAGAGGGTAAATGACTAACCTAACCAGTTTCCGTGTATGGAACTCTACCAAAGCCGTCCAGTAAGATATTTTCATTTACATCCTCGGTAATTCCATGACAGGCCATAAGTTGGTTGCTTATTTTGTGAAATTGCGATTGAGATAGAGGCCAAATGTAGTTCCATTGTAAGATAAGAAGTCCATTTCTCTTTGATGTTTCCCAATACAGTCAATCAGATGCCATTTTTTTTTATCTATCCACAGTTTCTTATATGACCACTCACTCTTGATTCTCCTAATCCATTTAGGTTCACCGGTTCTATTTGGGCATGTGCCCTACAAGGTTGGGGCAACCTGGCCTGCATGTACTGGTATGTTTTCGCAGCTATGAATGATAGCCCTGATTTACATATACAGCAAGTGTTTGTACAAGACTTAACCCTGAGCTGTTGCCCATTCCAGCTGCAACAGCATCAGCAGGGAATTTTTCTTCGCGACGACATTTGGGTTGCTTCTGTGGCTAGGTTTCCTCCCCGCTCCATCTCTAATAAATTCCGTTACTTTTCTTTATGATGAACCGCAACTCTTTGGAATCGGTCTCCTAACCGCGAGTCGCGCGCCGTGTTCCAGGTTTCACCTTCGGGAGAGACACCGATGCCTTCGGCAACAGCTCGCCCATGGATTCTCTGAAGGAGCTGGTCTTCGGGAAGTGATGACACCATCATCAGCAAGCAGTTGAAAGCAGCTGACTGTTCCGGGGTAGTAGGAACCAACCAGGAAAGCCCTCCTACAATAATTTTCTGGTGACCGGCAAGCAAGAACGAACCGGGCCGTGGTAAAATTCTTGGTAGGCATAGCATAGAGGTGAAAATTAAGAAGGGTACGCCGTCGCCGACAGTCCTCCGGCCGTGGTGAAACGCCGAGACGAGCCCCACCGCTGCAGCTTGCAGAAAGCGCCGTGGGTGTTCACGTGGCAGCAGAAGCTACCGTGTGGCGTGACCACCACCGGCAACGGCACCGGCCGGGGCCAGCTCGCTTGCGCAGAAAGGGTACAGTGGAGGAGTGGTAGCAGCAGATCTATTCTATTCGTTGTAAGAAAAATAAAAGTTTGCATTTCTTCTCACCTTGAATAAAGTTTACATTTCTTCTCACTCATGCAAATATGTATGGAACAATTTTTTTGAGTGAAATATATTTTTGTTTGTTTTGGCGGAAGAATAATCTGTACAGTAAAAGGGTGGGAATATCTTTTGTTTGTTCTTGGGGATGGGAGGCCAGTGGGTCAGTGAGTGAGTGGGTGGGCGGCGGCGGGCCCGGGCCAGGTCCAGTCCAGTCAAGACCAGCCTAATACAAAAATCAGCCCGGTAAAACGATGATTAAAACCGGGAAACGCGGACGACAGCTAGTGTGAACGGAAGGGGCCCCGCCCCGTCGTCTCCGCGCAGAGAGAGAGGGAGAGGCGTGTGAATGGGCAGAAAAGTAAGAAACGTCAGGCAGCAGCTGCAACTGCAGCGGCATCCACCGGCGAGACGAGAGCGAGAAGAAAACGAAACGAAAAGCGGGGCGAGGCCACGGGCCAGACGCCAGAGGAAGGTCGCGTGGCAGAGCACGCCACCCAAAATCAATCCAGGCCAGAAAGCGAGCCGGGCGTCCGCCGCGTCACGGGCGTTGCTAGGCGGGAGAGGGCGGCGGGACGATGGAGGCGGGCGGCGGGGGAGGAGGGTTCAGGGACGAGCGGGTGCCGCAGTGGGGCGTGCAGGAGACGCGGGAGCTCATCGCGGCGCGCGGGGAGCTGGAGCGCGAGGCCGCCGCCGGCCGCAGCGCCAAGACGCTCTGGGAGGCAGTGGCCGACGCGCTCCGGGCGCGCGGGTACCGCCGCACCGCCGACCAGTGCAAGTGCAAGTGGAAGAACCTCGTCAACAGATACAAGGTACGTACCTGTGTGCTATACTCTGCCTGCCGCCATTCCCTTGCACCTCTGCCTCCCTAATAATGGAGTAATGGTTATAGCTGTCTGGTCTGGTGTCTCCAATTCTTCATGCTGCTAGGCCAGCCTTTGTGTTCTCAGTTCTCCGAGCAACGATTTCTCATGTAATGTTCTTACTTGGCAATCTGCAACGCATTTTGTGGGTGCTTTGGGTCCCCAAACGGCCCCTTTCTATCTCAAGAGGTCCTTTTGGGATTGGTAGGACAAGTTCCCTTCCCTTTGCTGCTTATAAATGACTAACGTTTCAATCAAAGGGAGGGATCTCTGGTCCTGTTGAATTAGTTGTTTATCCCTTCTAATTTTAGAAGGGAAGTTGAATACTTTTTGGCCCTAGGCAACCTAAAATGACCAATGAATGTGTAGCATTGTTTGACAAGTCATGTGTTGAATTGCACACCTTTAATTTCACGGAGTTTAAAATCCATGTCAGCCTAATGCAGTTGCCTGGCTGTAATGCTAAATTACAAGGCATTTTGTTTTTCCGTCTTCTTCTTATAGATATGCCCTAGGTCTGGGAGTGAGGCTTTTCTGAGTATAGTTGTGTCTAATTGGTATGCGAAAAAGTGTAGTATTCAGTTTTCCTTTTTAGCATTTCACTTTGTTCATTGCTGTATTTTGGGGTAAAGCTAATCCAACATGACACGATTGTTCCGTATGAGGCTAGGATAACCCAAGGAATCATCAACAATAATGGATAATTGCTCCTGATAGAAAGGGGAAAACATGTCAGCTCAGGTGAATATGGTCAGATTAGTAAGTGTGAAGGAAAAGCCAGGGTGGAATTTCTTTGCTTTAAGGGAAACTTCAGTGACAAACTATCCAGAATGGAGGCCACGAGTTTTGTCAGAAAAAGATACAGTACTATTTTTGTACACCCCGGGGGAAATATGGATGGCATTTCAGATGGTTTAATTAGGTTTATTGAGAAAGAACCAGGGCAAATTTTGAAATTTCAGGGGATAGACATGTACTACATTTTTTTCAGAGGAGGTTTGAAATTTCCATGTTAGGTTTAGAATGACGCTGATTTTGGGTTTGTTTGTGTGTTGGAACCAATTTCAAGTTTTCAGGTAAAAATGGTCCATTGGGATGTTCCTACAATGTGTCGCCTAATTTGTTTCCGTATTATCTTTGTCGTGACGACATTCCACTACACCCCTCTTTTTTGGTCATCTTTGCGATTATAAGTTTGCTGTGTGATTGCAACTAAGATTTATAGTACTACCTTCATTGCTTAGTTTATGGGGCAATAACTCTTTCTTTTTTCATCAGGGGAAAGAAACATCTGATCCAGAAAATGGTAGACAGTGTCCCTTCTTTGAAGAATTACATGCAGTCTTCACTGAACGTGCTAGAAATATGCAACGTCAACTCCTTCAGTCTGAATCGGGAACTTCAGTTAAAAAGAAATTAAAGCGACCTAGCGGTGACCGGTCATCTGGGGAGTCTGATGACAATGAATATGGCGTTGAAGTCAGCGATGATGAGAAACCCATGATAAGCAAAAAGCGGAAGGCCAGTGATAAGGGGCAACCATCGCAACGAATGGCGGAAAACTCAAGGACCGGCAGTTCAAGCATCCATGATCTGTTACAGGAATTCCTAGTGCAGCAACAGCATGTCGATATGCTGTGGCATGAGACGATGGAGCGGCGCGCCCAGGAGCGGCTCATTTTCGAACAAGAATGGAGGCAGTCGATGCAGAAGCTTGAGCAGGAGAGGCTGATGCTGGAGCAGTCATGGATAGAGCGTGAGGAACAGCGAAGGATGAGAGAAGAAGCAAGAGCTCAGAAAAGGGATTCGCTCATGACCACCCTGCTGAACAAACTCTTACAAGAAGATCTATAGAAGGCGAAGCTTCTTCGTCAACGGGTAGATAATGTACTAGACATCATTTTTCTTACCATGGTTCATCGATTCTTTTTAGCTATTGTAACATGCTGTTGTCCAGAAGATGATGTTTGATGCAGCTTATTAACTTTATAGGGCTCATTTGCAATTCTTTACCGGGGTTATATTTATATACTAATTTATTAGAGATGTAAGTATAAGAGATAGGTGATCTACTGATCTATGTGATTTTCAGAGACATTAGACTTTCAGGCATCAGTCGTCTTGCGTGAATATCATGTGCTCTAACATTTTCATGGCATTGTTCCTTTTTTTTTGAACAGTGAAAGGGCCCAAGGCCCATACTTCATTGGATAAGCATCAAAGCATAGATTACAACAGGACCCAACAGAAAAAGAAAACAACAAGTAAGTCCCTGACTTTTACATAGAGGACCCCAAACTGAGAGCAAGAAACGTGATCGGGTCCTTGGCAGCTGCCGCCCGGACTGAACCTCGCTGCCGTCGGGGACGAACCACTTGGTGCGACGAAATCGCCATAGAAGCATAGCATGCTCCGCATGGCTTCCGAGTTGCAGTTGAAACTGCCTCCCATAAGGCACGCAAGCCGGGAGGAATAGAGTCGGCCGCCATTCGACCAGAAGAAGCAGAGCACCGGTAAAGACCGGCAGCCAGCCAAGGGCGCCGTAGCTCCATCAAGGAATCCTCTGCTGATAAGCTCGAACTCGATCTGAGGGCTTCAGATTTCTGCATCTTCGTTGCTCCTCATCCACCCCCATGATGGCCTGAAAAAGCAAGCAACAGCAGATGGTTGCCCTCCAGATCAGGGAAGATAACAGGCTTATTGGAGAGGGAGAGCTCCTGCCAGATCCACTCCTATCTGCTCCCGTCCTCCATGGACGGCAAGCTCGGAAGGAACCCGGCGAGCACCGAACGCTGCCTAGACGCGTCGATGGGGAGCTCGAGAACGGCATTAACGCCAGACGCCCCGAAGGCAAGACTCTCTCGACTACTACATTTACTACTACTATATACAGAGGGGGGCCAACCGCCTATCCCATCCTCACGCCGGACGGCAGAGCCGCCGGAGAGAAAGAGGAAAAGGGGCAAAGTCGGAGCAAGCAAGACGACTCTCAACCTGAGCTACTCAGTGCCGGCAAAACAGTATGTGCGTGGTTGCGGCATTGTTCCTTATGTTGTGAACTTATAATGCAGACTGGATTTATGTTCTACTACAATGGTGAATTTGTGATTGGAACTTGTTTGGTTTGAGCCCACAAGAGACCTTGCCTGATAGAAGTAATGCCCAAAACCAGGGCACTGCCAAGATCGTGGCAAAAAAAGCGGCATTCAAAAAGTTAAATTCATTGGTCTCGGCACTCCCTTTCAGCGGAGTTATCCCAGCTTTTTTGTGAGCTAAATGTGACTGTTGAAACACATTACTACCTCTGTCCTGGTTTATTGGTCCCCATAGTATTTTGTACCAAATTTTGACCATAGATTTAACTAAGTAAAAAATAATGCATGTCAGCAAAATGATATCCCTCAATTCGTATTTGAACATAGTTTTGAGAGATATTATTTTTAATTACATGCATTAACATTTCGTTAGTTAAATTTAATATCAAAATTTTGCATAAAATACTAAGGGGACTAATAAACCAGGACGAAGGTAGTACTTTCTTTTCATTCTTTTCTTCAGATTTAAACATGAATTTCAAACGAAGATAGTTCAGGTAGGGCCACCTCTTGATTTAGAATTTTGTAGGAATGTAATCTTTTAAGAAACTTGCTGCTGAGAACCGTTCAATTGGATCGTGGTTGTCAAATTCCTACATAATACATTCCTTTGATCTCGATTCCCCTCTTTGACTCGAAAGATTATCACAATGTACTGAAAGAAAGCAAACGAATCAAGCAGCATGTCCATTCAAATCCAATATGATTAGAAAACCTAATACATTCGAAAACAAATGAATTGTAGCAAGAGGTCTGAGTGCATGTAATTTTTCCTCTAAAATCGAGTGCAAAGGAATTTCTTTCTTAGAGAAAACTCTTAAGAATTCAAATCCTGTCAATCAGACGACGTATGTGCGTTTTTTTCCTTTCTAAGGATCAAAATCCCCCAAAGAATCTTAGAAAATTCCTTGGAAGCAAACGAGCCCTTATTTTCTTTCTTTTTGACAAGTCTAATACTTGAGGACAGGGCGTCGACCTGTTGGCTGGGCAGCTGAGGTTGCTGCCAGCCCACCCAAGTTCGAGTCCCGGCACGGACGTGTCTTTCTCTCTCTCTCTCTCTCTCTCCTAATTTCTCCATTTTAAAAATTCAAAAACAAAATTTCTCCATTCTTTCTTGCTCATTTATGTTTAAAAGATTCAAAAGCATTTGTGAGTTCCAAACGGGTTGTGGACACAAGTTTTGGTTCAGGTCCGGGTTGCAGTGCATCTTCCCTTGACACGTTCCAGTAGGCCACTGGATAAGCCGCGGAGGTCGGAGGTCGGAGGCGGAGGCGGATAGGCGGCAGCCTGACCGGCGATGGAGGGGAAGCCGCTGCATCTCCTCCTCCCCCACCCTCGCCTCCCATTCCCAGCCCCAGGCCCCCTCCCTACCCACCGCCTCCGCCTCTCCCTCCACCACCGCAAGCCGAAGGCGAAGCAGCTCGCCTTCTCCTGGCCGCCCAACAGCCAACCGGCCACGCCCGGCCGCGGGGGCTGGGAGTGGGCGCGGGGCGCCTCCGCGGCGGCGGCGCTGGCGCTCCACCTGGCCGCCTGCTCCCTCCTCATCCTCTTCCCCGCCCCGGGGGCACGCGCGTGCGCCCAGCCGCCCCCTCCTCCCGCCGCCGCGGAGGCCAAGGAGCAGGAGGAGGGCGACGAGGAGTGGGAGGCCGCGCTGCAGCAGTGGAAGTCCAAGACCTACGCGCTCTCCGTGCCCCTGCGCGTCGTCGCGCTCCGCGGATCCTTCCCTCCCGCATGGATCAAGGTCCGCTCCTTCTCCCCTTATGCACTTCACACCATTTGCTTTGACTACTGAACGATTATGATTTTGGTTTGTTGTTTATAGGATTTCGTTGAAGCACAGGGGAAGCGGCTCAAGTTCAGCCCTGAGTTCCGCCCTAGTATCGACGCTCTCTTCTCCGAGTTGTCAAAATGCGTGGACAAAGGTCAGGTTCAGCCGAAATCCGCCATGGCAGCTGATGTCGTCTCAATTGGGGACTCCTGGCTCGGCTACGCCATTCGTAAGGGACTGGTAGAACCTATCAACAATGCTGAAGAGCAGGATTGGTATAGGAGCCTAAGTGACAGATGGAAGGTAAGAATCGACAGTTGAAGTGTTCTTCCTCTCTTACCAATTCTGATAGTCGCACTGGTTCCTGCTGTTAATGTTGTGTTGCCTTGTATGCTGTGATAACGAATGCGGATGGCTGAAGAAGTGTTATTTAATTTGTGTAGATGAATTTTTTTATAAGAAAGATATTCTATCATGTGAATCACAATGACATGTAGGTTTCTAGCACAATCTCCATAACTGGAATAACATCTCCCATGTTCATTATTTGCTTCAGTCAAACTCATTTTCTTCCAGGAAATATCATATTTGTGAAGCATAACTTAAATGTACTCCCGGAAATGAATTAGTCAATTCAAGTGAAGATGTCCAGAGGTGTAGTTTCCATTTTCATTATAGTCTATCAGGTTCATTTGTGCAGGAACCAGAAGGGAGAGGCAGATTCTAATGGCTCAGTATGGGGTGTTCCATACAGATGGGGCACAGTGGTCATTGCGTACAAGAAAAGCAAGTTTAAGCAGCATAACTTGAAGCCAATACAGGTAAAAAAAATTCTTCAGAGAACATGCAGCATTAAGCCGAAGATACAATGTGAACTATACAGTGATTAACTTGTCCTTAAAGGCTTTTGCTAGTACTGATTGAGTTTGACTATTTTGCTACTTATAAGTTACAAAATCCTTGTGAGTAAAGACACATATATAGATGATGGCATTGTGCACGCAGACATCAACGTGGTAACTACTCATATTGATGTACCATCTGTAGGATTGGGAGGATTTATGGAGGCCTGAACTTGCTGGGAAGATTTCAATGATTGATTCTCCTAGAGAAGTAATTGGTGCAGTCCTTAAGCAGTTGGGATCATCATATAACACAATTGACATGGAAACAGAAGTCAATGGTGGTAGGGAAGCAGTCCTAAACAGCTTTACACAGCTACAAAAGCAGGTTTCTACCAGCTAACCCATCTTCTCTATGTTTCTTGCTTTCCATCTATCGTGTTCGATCTGGAAAGTGAAGTGATGGTCCAAAATAATTTCGTGCAAAATGCAAAACGACCCTTTATAGGAACAATTAACAAAGTCTTGAATTACGATGTGCTGCGTTGGATTTAATTTTGGTATCCTTCTGTAGGTCCAGCTATTTGACAGCATGAACTATCTGAAATCATTTGGAGTTGGGGATGTTTGGGTCACAGTGGGTTGGAGCAGCGATGTCATCCCTGCTGCAAAGCGAATGTCCAATGTCGCTGTTGTTGTTCCCAAGTCAGGCAGTAGCCTCTGGGCTGATTTATGGGTATCTTATGATTTTTCCCATGCTTAATTTCATTACTGTGATTGTCAATCCATGGAGTATATCGCTGTTGTTGTTGTTGTTGTTGTTGTTGTTGTTGTTGCTGCTTCATTGCAATAGTGAGCCTACTGTCTTATTGGTTGCATTGGTTTTATGCACTACAGGCGATACCTTGTGCGACAAGGTTTCAGACTGATCGAATCGGGGGCAGAACTAGAGGTCCATCTCCACTCATCCACCAGTGGTTCGATTTCTGCCTGCAAAGCGCCAGAAGCTTACCCTTTCGCCAGGAAATTATCCCAGGAGCATCACCGCTGTTCCTTGAGAACCCAGCTCCGGAGGTTCTGCAAGATCGAAACAAGAAGAAGCCAAAGCTGGAGACTAACCTTGTCAGGGGAGTGGCTCCCCCTGAAATCCTGGAAAAATGTGAGTTCTTAAAACCTCTATCGGACAAAGCAGTGGGTGACTACCAGTGGTTGATGTCGAGAGTGCAGAGACCACGAGGCGGTCTGCTAGGAAACGTGCTGCAGAGGATATCAACCGTGCTAGGCTTGAAATCGAGATTTTAGAGCACACACCCATCGACACGAAGTTTATCAGTCATAAGTATTTTTTGGAGACGACCACTAACAAACCAATAGTTAGATCATGCATAGGATCCACTTCTTACAGTACCACCTCTAAAAACCTCTCGTTGGAGATTTAATGTAATCCGACTCTGAGATTTGGACGAGAAATGCTGCGGATCATCTCGGAAACTTTCTCGGTTGGTAAAGGAACAAGGTACGACTTGTTGAGCACCACATTTATAGGTCTTGTTGCACTGCATCTGGATACTAGCAACTCTAGAAATTCCACCTGGTCATCTGCTCCCATGAACGTATTGATCTCTATCTCTTCAAGTGAATCGAGGGTCATATTGTTGGCCCTGTAACTCTCCGGCAAGCGACATGGACAAGCCGTCGAGCATGGGTCTTTCTGAAAAAAATTTCATGTAGATGCAATATTATTCAACAGTTGCAATTTTTAAACAAAATAATATGACTACATTAGGCGAAGAGCTACAGTACATAGTGCATTAATTATGGTACTGTGTGATTTTGGACCCCCTTAGCTGGCGAACGTTTTGATGACAGTTTCTTTAGAGCGACATGGCATTTTCGATGTGTGTGGGATGGCAGCTTCTACAGAGCAACATGACATTTTCTAGGAGGACGGCGTGTGTGGGATGGCAGCTGGTCGCACCATCCTCCCATGTCGCTCTGAAGAAACCGTCACCCACGGAATGCCACCCTCCCCTTGAACATCAGCCACATAAGATTCCGATGATTTTTCAATGGGCCTCCAAATCATAAGCTACTACTCCTAAACATGTTTCCTTAATTTCAAAATCGTGAATATTTGGGCTACAGTCTATGAATGAACTGATAAAATGAACCCCAGAAATTACGTACCGCCTGAGTGTATGTCTCCAGCACAAGCCTCCTTATAGCGTTGCTTCTCCTGAGGAGATGCAGCATGGTTGGAACAAAGCCGTGGTGATCCCCCGTTAACGATACCGATAATACGGTCTGACACACGGGAAGATTGTTTACATCATCCAAGAAGCTAGTGTATCCCTCCATTCCCTGAAAAATAATAATCGGAAGCACAAAAACGAATCATCAAAATTAAAGGACCAATTAACATGGATCGCCTGAGCAAGAGCAACAAAATCCATGGATTCATACGGAGAGAAGCCAATTAATTGGACGTACAATGAGGGCAGACAGTCTCAGCTCGTCGACCGCATCGAACCGCCGCGCCCTCGGGGGCGCCGCCGCGTGTAGGTACAGCTGCGTGATGTCCAGCCGCCGGAGACGACGAGGCACGTCGTCGGCGAAGTGGTGCCGGTGCAGGCGCTGGACCTTGGCCTCGGCGAGCCTCGGGGCCGAGATGTGGGCGTGGTGGAGGAAAGACGCGACCAGCACTTCGAGCATGGGGGCGGCGACCCCGAGCCGCTGGGCGCACCCGGCCCCGAATTCTAGGCGCCTGAGGGAAGCGGAGCGGATGGAGACGTCCGAGCAGGCCACGAGGTTGACGCGCAGGGTGAGGTCCGTCAGGCGCGGGCACATGGACGACACGAACGCCCCGAGCTCCCGCCCGTCCATGGCTGCCGACTGTATCGTCAGGACGGTGAGCGCAGCGAACGAGGCCGCCGGCCGGAGCCGGAGCACGAACTCCCCCGCGAGGGAGAGCGCGATCTCCGTCGCCCTCCCGCAAGGGGGCAGCTCGATTTCCTGTCCGTGGGTGGTGGGCTCGGAGCGGGGCAGGGCGAGGGACAGCGTGCCGGCGACGCGCTCCGAGGCGACGCGCAGCCACGAGGAGACGCGGCGAGCTTCGATTCGGCAGAGCCTGACGTCGGGCACGGCGATGGTGAGCGCGGCGACGTCGACGTTGGAGGCGGAGTAGGCGGCGAGGGCGCCTTCCACGGCGCGCAGGAAGGAGCTCGGCGGCCGGCCCGGCACGTGGAGCTCGTCGATGACGAGCTCGGGGATGCTGGTCCAGACGTGGCGCCAGCGGCGGGAGAGGATGCCGGTGCGCGCGGCGGCGGGGAGCGAGCGGAGGCGGAGGAGGACGTCGCGCAGGAGGTCGTCGGAGAGGCCGCTGATGCGATCGTCGCTCCCAGCCTCCTCCATGCTCGCACCCCGGAGTATGTTTTTAGATGGATGTGCGCAGAGGTTGATTAGGGATAATAATAGATTAGGTGATTAAGTCATGTAAATCACATGATGTTATCCTTTTTAGTCATGGTCTTTTTTTTTTCTTCTGTAGTAGATTTTTTTTGACATCTTCTGTAGTAGACACTGTTGGCCGCCGGTGAAGGTGGCAGCAAGTTTCTCGGCCACTCCGTTGTTCGGGGCAAGGGGTATGGACTCCGAGGCAGCGCCTCAGGTAGACATGACGGTGTCCACCAGACGGCGGGTGGTGTGCACTGGTGCCGGGGGTCACCCCGATGAGTGTAGGTTATGGTGCGTAGGGTACCCCGCGTTCCTCCGGTGCTAGATCTGAAGATGACATCTTCGATGCGTGCTGCTCTCTTCACCCACCGGACTTGGCCGGATCCAACGGATAGCTAGGGGAATAGGGAGGTATGGACAAGGGAAATACCTTGGCGGGCGGTGGCGGCCACGACGCCGACAACGGTTTGGGCACATTTCCCCCCTTGAAGGTGATGTCAAGGTAGTATCCCCCTTCTCCCTCCCGTGCACCCAGGTGAAACCCTCAATCTGGAACTAGGCGGCGATGGTGCTCAACGTCATCACCTCCTTGGAGGTATCGTTCTGGGTATGTGTGGGCGTGTGGCGGTGTGTGGGCAGTTGCTTGTTCGGTGTGCTCTTGGTGGAGGCGTTTTTCATTTCCAGCGGTGACGCGGAAAAAAATTGGGTGGAGACCGGTTGCAAAACTCCTCCCCTGCATACCCGATCCGATCTGCCGCCACCTGTCCTACCAATGCATCCCACGGCATCCTCTCGCGCCCGTGTAGCGCTGCTTTCTTCGGCTCGTTCTGTCGCTCTCGGCGCTTCCGCTCGGCTCGATCCGTAAGCTGCTATATCGGCTCAAGAAACCGAACACAATCCCCATCTTGTTCCATGCCCAGGACAGCCAAGGCCGAGCGATGCCGGCGGAGCGAGATGGCGGCACCCGCGGAGCGGAGTGGCGGCGACGACAGACCAGGAGGCACCATGGACACCTATGCCCAGGGCTCCACGAGTGGTGCGCGTCCGTGGGAGAGCTGCTCAAACTGCCGGCGTCAGAAGACCCAAATCAGATGTCAGCCGCCGTGAACGACCGAAGTTGGGCATGGAGGCTAAAAGCACAAGTGCTCCCTAGGTGGTTTTGGTAATTAATGTTAACATATCTCTTGTTGGACTAACAATTTTATCTAGTACATTTCAGATAAGTTCAACATTGGAGTGGCATGGACTAAAGGATGTGGGAACTCCTTCAAGATGCTAAGGACAAAGGATTGGCTCAAGCTTCAAGCTCAAGACTCTTCATTTTACATTTTAGTGATCCAAGATCACATTGAGTCTATAGGAAAAGCCAATACTATCAAGGAGGGATGAGGTGTTGCTTAATAAGCCTCTTGCTTCATGTGCTTAGTGATATGCTCCAAAAATCCTCAACCACTTTCTCACATCCACATATGTCCTAAACCTAAAGTCAAACTCGGCCCCACTGATTCTTTCTATCCGGCGCCACCGAGTTTGGATGTCTTAGCCACTGCCACAAACCCTAAGCAAATCGGTCTCACCGATAGGGATCTCGGTCTCACCGAGATGGGATTGGAATCTCTTTGTGTATGTCCATTATCAAAATCGGTCTCACCGAGTTTGAGCAATCGGTACTACCGAGATTACAATGCAAACTTCCGGGTTGACTCATTACCAAAATCGGTCCCACCGAGTTTGATAATCGGTCCAACCGAGTTTGCCTGACCAGCTCTCTGGTTAGCTAATTACCAAAATCGGTCCTACCGAGTTTGCGTAATCGGTCTCACCGAGATTACGTTATACCCTAACCCTAACCATATCGATCCTACCGAGTTGCATTTTGGTCCCACCGAAAATCCTAACGGTCACTAAATTTGCTACATCGGTCCGACCGAGTTTCTCAATTCGATCCCACCGAGTTTGGCAAATTGTGTGTAACGGTTAGATTCTGTGTGGAGGCTATATATACCCCTCCACCTCCTCTTCATTCATGGAGAGAGCCATCAGACTAAACCTACACTTCCAACTTACCATTTCTGAGAGAGAACCACCTACTCATGTGTTGAGTCCAAGATATTCCATTCCTACCATATGAATCTTGATCTCTAGCCTTTCCCAAGTTGCTTTCCACTCAAATCCTCTTTCCACCAGATCCAAATCCTATGAGAGAGAGTTGAGTGTTGGGGAGACTATCATTTGAAGCACAAGAGCAAGGAGTTCATCATCAACGCACCATTTGTTACTTCTTGGAGAGTGGTGTCTCCTAGATTGGCTAGGTGTCACTTGGGAGCCTCCGACAAAGATTGTGGAGTTGAACCAAGGAGTTTGTAAGGGCAAGGAGATCGCCTACTTCGTGAAGATCTACCGCTAGTGAGGCAAGTCCTTCGTGGGCGACATCCATGGTGGGATAGACAAGGTTGCTTCTTCGTAGACCCTTCTTGGGTGGAGCCCTCCGTGGACTCGCGCAACCGTTACCTTTTGTGGGTTGAAGTCTCCATCAACGTGGATGTACGATAGCACCACCTATCGGAACCACGCCAAAAACATTCGTGTCTTCAATTGCGTTTGAATCCTTCAAACCCTTCCCTTTACATTATTGCAAGTTGCATGCTTTACTTTCCGCTACTCATATACTCTTTGCATGCTTGCTTGCTATGTGTTGTGAATGTTAAATTTGTGCCTAAACTCCACTTAAACTTAAATTTGTTAAAAACTGCAACTTTGGTACTTAGTGTCTAATCACCCCCCCTCTAGACACCTCTTCTCAAGGTCCTACAAGTGGTATCAGAGCTTTGGTCTCCATTGCTTTGGTTTAATCACAATTGGAGGAAGATGGATGAGTCTACTTTTGGGATTCTTAGACATAGAGTGCCTATTCTTGATGGAGAGTATTTTCTTGAGTGGAAAAATGAGATGCTTGTAATTTTCAATCAATATCATTTGAATAAGTACATTGCTAGTCCTTGTGCACCTTGTGTTGATCCTATGCATCCTACCCTTGATGAGTCTATTGACATGATTAGGAATGTTAGAACTGTTAATCCTATCACTAGAGGCTTTCCTAGAAACTTGATTATAAAACTGCCTACTCTTGAGTGTGCCTACACTATATGGAAATTTCTTGAGGAACGGTTTCCTGATTATTCTTTGAAAAATCTTGATGAAATTCTCCATAAGTCTATTTCTTTGAGTAAAATGAATACTAGTGATCCTATGTTTGGTGATCGTCTATTTGAGCTTACAAACCTTATGCGTGCCAAAGGAGATGTTGGTATTATTAGTGATATTATTTCCGAAGCTATAAAAATTCATAGACAAGATCATTGTCAAAATCACTCTAACGAATCACCCTCTCTAGGATTTGATCCACCACATGACGATGTTGAACATGGATACTATGATGAGGATGATGATAGTGACTTCGATCTTGATGATGCAATGAGACATTTTGGTCTTATGGCAAATCTTCGAGGATATATGTCAGGAGGAAAGGAATGGGTTCTTGATAGTGGATGTACTGATCACATGACCGGAGATAAAGACATGTTTCGTGAGCTTGCTGATAATGACAGTCCTCGAAAGTATGTCACCTTCGGTGACAACTCAAAGGGTAAGGTGGTTGGCCTTGGTAAGGTGGCCATATCACATGATAGCTCCATACAAAATGTCATGCTCGTTGAATCTCTTGGATACAACTTACTTTCAGTATCTAGACTTGCTGATTTCGGTTTCAGTCCTATTTACTGAAGTAGATTGCCAAGTGTTTCATCGAGACAATCATAAAATGGTCTTTACCGACATACGTAGAGGTGATCTATACATTGTTGATTTCACTAAAAAGGCTCAACCTAAAACTTTCTTCATTGCTAAATCCTCAAAAGGTTGGTTATGGCATAGACGACTAGGTCACGTTGGCATGAGAAACCTTGACAAGCTTATTAAGGGAAATCATATCCTTGGAGTTAATGATGTCATATTTGATAAGGATAGACTTTGCAGTGCTTGTCAGGCAGGTAAACAGGTTGGAGGAAGGCATCCCGTGAAGAACACCATGACCACAAAGATGCCACTCGAGCTACTTCCCATGGATCTCTTTGGTCCCAACTCTTACAAGAGTCTCGGTGGAAATTCTTTTGGTCTAGTTATAGTCGATGATTTTTCAAGATTTACGTGGGTGTTATTTCTTGATGATAAATCGCAGGCTCAGAAGATCTTCAAAAACTTCGCTAGGAAGGCCCAAAATCAATTTGAAGTGAAGATCAAGAAGGTTCGCAGCGACAACGGAACGAAGTTCAAGAACGCAAATGTGGACACCTTTCTTGACGAAGAAGGGATTTCACACGAGTTCTCGGCTACGTACACACCTCAACAAAATGGAGTTTTTGAGAGGAAGAACCGGACGCTCATCAAAATGGCAAGAATGATGCTTGATGAGTACAAGACGCCGAAGCACTTTTGGGCAGAAGCGGTTGAGACAGCTTGTCATGCAACAAATCGCTTGTATCTTCACAAGCTACTCAGCAAGACGGCATACGAGCTCCTCACCGATAACAAACCCCAAGTTGGATACTTTTGAGTATTCGGCTCAAAGTGCTACATTCTTGATAAGCATCGTCGTTCTAAATTTGCTCCTAAGTCTCATGAAGGATTCCTACTAGGTTATGGATCAAACTCTCACACTTACCGTGTCTACAACAATTTCACCCGAAAGGTTGAAGAGACGGTAGATGTGAAGTTTGATGAATCTAACGGCTCGCAAGTAGAGCAATTGCCAATTGATGTAGGAGACAAAGATCCTTCGGAAGCAATCCAAGACTTATCTATTGGCAAGATCCGTCCAACGGAGGTGAAGGAGAGTACCTCATCCGTCCAAGTGGAAGCTTCTACTTCACGACAAGGTGAACCAAGAGTTGATACGGAAG